AATCCCCATCTTCCCCCAGTTTCCATTTCATTTTCCATTATCTTTTCAATTTGATTCTCCACTATAGGGGATAATATAGTTGAATTTAAGTTCCCCAACAGCAACCCCGTTTTTGGGTTGCCTTGGGGGTGTTGTAATGGGAGGGAGCCGAACCTTAAACCTGTTGGCTGAAGTTAAAGGGTTTAGATAGGGGTTGTATAGGGATAATGGAAAAGAAAATGGAGGCGACAATTTAGCGTTTGGGGTTCAGGGTTTAGGGTTCTCTTTTCATAGTTAGGGGTACCTTTTTTGGGGTCCCCATGATAAAGATTATAGCATTCTGGGGTCTATATTGGGGGCACAGGCTACCCCATCTCAAAACTTCTAGGAGCAAGATGTCCTCATGCCAAGATTCAGGGACAGTTGCCTGGCAACATGGGCTATACTCTAAACTCCTCAGAGGCGATTATATAGGGGATTATAAAGGGGAGTTTTATAGGGATGATTAAGGGTTATATTAGGAGTTTAGACTATAGCTTACATGAAAACTATAAACGATCAGCGAATGTTGCATCGAGTGTTGTGTAGCATTGCAGTGCAGGCTGTTGAAGCAATTGTGCTGAACAGTGTCCTGTACCTTCTGGTCCCTGGGAAGCTTACAGAGGTAAAGCTATTCTACCGCTTCTGCAAATCGTATCGCACCATTCTTTCATTGGAATACTATAACATATCAATTATAATATGCTATAATATATGATGGTAGTTTCCATTTTCTTTTGCATTATCCCAATATAGCCCTATAATCCTTATATAACCCCGATAGTATATGCGATTTGCAAGGGTACCCCGATTTCTGCAAGGCAGAGATGAAGCAACAGCGGGCCACCAGCGCTCGCGTCCTAGTATCTGCTTGTGAAAGTCGGGGGGAGCCTCTGAGAAAAGGAATATGTTGGGTTTGTATGGGGAATATCAGGGTCCACTTTTGGGATTCGAAGGGGAGGTATGGATCAGCTGTTGCGAACAACAAAGCACCATGTGCGGAGGAATCATATTCAATGCTGGGCTGCGCTTGCTTCCCAGCCCCCTTCAAGCGCAGAAAGACCCTCCTACTGGAGACTTAGGACTTTCTCAAACCTAATCCAAGAGCATTCTTCTAGGGACGCAGCTGTTTTTCTCTGCAGTCCGCCAGATCCGAAGGTCAAGTGTAGCCAACCATAATGATGAGATAGTTTCCATTTTCTCCCCCATTATCCCCATATAACCCCTTTATAACCCCTAATATATAGAGTCCTATCATTATCCCTATAGAACCCCTTTGTAACCCTAATATATAGAGTCCTATTTAACCGCGTAATATGACCCCTATGTAACAGGTGGAGCAGCTTATCCACAAGCTCTCTGGCGGCATGGGGAAGATCAAGCCCTCGCAGCCACCAGGCTGCAAGGGACAGGCAAACCACTGACGTACAAACCCTAAACCCCTCGACCCCTAAAACCCTAAACCCATAGTAGCCACAGGTGTATGATAGTTTGTCTAAGTCGGATACTATAGTTTTAATATGAGGTGTATAGTTGGTCTAAGTCGGATACTATAGTCTTGACATAAAGTAGGATTGGAAGGGCCAACCACTCCTCTGCGGGAGCAGTCTGGGTTTCTAGTGAATGCACGAAACAACTTGCCAAGCTGAGGATCAAGAAGATCTACAAGCGCTTCGGGGACTGGTTTTGCTCAATCTTCACGTCTTGCTCAGACAGCTTGTTTTCATGCCAATACTGTCCGGATTGGTGATACAAGCTGCAATGATAAACTTGATCTTCAAAAGAGCTTCCTCTGCAACACGGGGACTTCTTGATCTATACCATAGCATACTATATACCATTATAGACTGTAATACACCATAATATACCATAATATACCGTAATATACTGTAATATACCATAATATGCTATAGCATTTTATGATATGCTATAATCTATTATGATATATTATAATCTACTGCAATGTTGCTTTCCGAGCTGCAAGGATATCGATGTCGACAAAAGTGGAGCCATCGATTACGAAGAGTTCATCCAGGCGACGTTTTGTAGTATTACATGGGGATTTCATGGGGTGTATATGGGGATTATATGGGGCGTATGCAGGGATCATATAGGGGTTATATAGGGATTATGTTCCCTCATTCTGCACCAACACCCCCTCTACGCTGAGGCTACAGTCTTAGATTCATGAGATGCTTGAGTTGCCTGGCCATTATGCTGAGGTGGACCACCATTGTATAACGGTGGCTAACCTGGTGGTCTAGCAGGGAATAAGTGAAGACAATCCCTGTATAACCCCTGTAAAATCCCTATTTAATCCCTATATAATCTCTATACAATCCCTATCCCCATATAATCCACCTATAATCCCTATAGAACCCCCATATAATCACTATATTTCCCAAGTAAAATCCCTATACAATCACCATATGATCCCTATGGCTAGTCTGGTGAGAGAGTTGCATGGTTTGCCGGTCCTCCCCAGGCCATGGACATGGAAGACACAAACATTGCAAGGCCAGGCATGCCTTGCTTTTATTGATATTGGGTCTCTGGTATATATAGGATTTAGGGTAACCATAATGTAGGTATGTGGTCTCTGGTATGTATAGGGTTTAGGGTTACCATAATGTAGGTCTATAGTAAAGAATCTGCGTTCCGGATTCTAATGAGTAGCAAAGGCTTTTAACAGCGACCCCCCCCCCTCCGTTTTTGTTTTGGGTGGATGGTTGAGCTCGTCATTCTCGCGATGTGGCTTGCAGGCAAATGTTCAGAGTCTTCGATATGGATGCTTGGCTCAATTAGACGGTGAGCATCTCTTCCATGACTGCACGAGAGGTATCCGGAAGCCGCCAAGTTTGCCACCTCTTGATTCCTATCCGTCAAGAGCTGCAATGTTTCTCAGGACGGCAGTGGCATGATTGAGCTGAAGGAGTTCATCGTTGTCCTGTCACGATACACAGCGGTTGGGGCTCCAAGACAGACGAGTCAAATTCCAACACTGTACATGTGGTTTTCACGGTTCGTGTTTCAATTTCGTAGCTTCGATTTCTTATCCTCCCGGCCCGCTCGACCTAGTAAATGAGTATTTCCGGCTTCTCGTGCCGCGATGCAGCCGCTGAATGAGTTATTCCTCACAGGGCTGTCCACTGGTAAGCATCACTCCGACAGCGTAGGGGGCTACTGACTCTTGTTTAGGGGACGGTCGCGGCTCTTGAGTCCATAGACCTCTACGGTTTTGCGTAAACTAGCTTCGGCCTACACAAACGGACAGGCCTCCAGTGACGCAGAGGACCCAATACACGGAACGTATCCTGTGTGATCATGACAGTTTGCTTGATTCGCAGACTTCCCAAAGTGAGTTGGGATTTTGAGGGATGAAGTGCAATGCCCTGTCAGCAACGAAAGCACCAAGCCCCAAAGTTGATGTCAAGTTCCGCTGTACTTGCAATTTCTCATGTTCGGCTCTCATCAAAAAAGAGAAGGCCGCAAAGACGGAGAAGCTGAAGTTCGCCTTCATGATGTTCGATCAGGTGCTCGACCGGGGCCAACTGATTGCCTTCATGCCTGAGTTTCTCAAAGTTACCCCTACAGAATCCTTCGTAGGGATTAAAAATGGAGATGCATTCACCGTCCGGGTGAAGAAATGTGGGGTCGGGAAGGGATGAGCAAATTTGGAGGGTTGTGAGTGTTTTGGGAGGCTTGCCGCGCTTCTCTTGGTCACCAAGATGGGCGTGTCTCGAAATGTAGGGGTATGGAACAGGTTGCCCGCGGACATTCGTTTCATGCTTCAATTCAAGGGGGTGGATCATCGAGCGGTTTCTCGTTCCATAACCACTGACTCCAAAATATCACAAACAGCGACATACTGCGACCCAGTTTTTCAGACACCCCCCATATCCCACCCCCCACGCTGTGTGTATTGCAGCACAACAGAGCTCGCAACCAAGTGAGAGCAGACCTGTGAGGAACTGAAAGCTAAGTTACCATCTCGGGGAAGACATTTTTTTCTCCATTTGACGGTAGCTTAGTTTGACTGGGGAATCACCTGACCGCACCCACAGATGCTCGCGCACATCCACACCCACACGCTCGTAATATTTGAAAAGGAGGTGCCACCGTTGGTCAAGATTTCCTGCGTCAGCGCGCCAGCCACACCATTCCATTGTTGATGTTTCAAATGGGAGTTTTTCAAGCCTGCCTCTTGGAAATGCCTCGTTGGGACCCTGATCATCCTCTTATAATTCTCATACACCCCTGCCCCAATATACCATGGTAGCTTCAACATATGTACCCTAATGTACAATGGTGTTTTCCATTTTCTCTTCCATTATCCCTATAGAGTCCTTACATAACCCCTGTACAATCCCTATCTGACCCCCACATAATCCCGTTTCCAGTCCTAAATCCTAAACCCTAAACCCTAAATCCTAAAACCTAAACCCTAAATCCTAGACCCTAAATCCTAAACCCTAAATCCTAAACCCTAAACCTTAAAGCTTAAATCCCAATTGGAGAAGCTCCCCCAACAGGACGGCAGCGGTCTCATTGATCGCCAAGAGCTGGTGGAAATGTTGCGGGTGCCTCCACGCGGTTTAGGGTTTAGGGTCTAAGGTTTAGGGTTTAGGGTTAGAGCTTTTGTGGTACATAGGGGTTTACATAGAGGTTATATAGAGATAATGGAAAAGAAGATGGAAGCTACTATTTAGGGTTTAGGGTTTAGGGTTTAGGGCATCCCAATTCGTAGAGCTTCTGTCTATAATAATATGAGCCATAAGTATCCCGCTTAGTAACCCCTATACCCCCATATAACCCCCCTTTAAGAAGTTTAGACTATAGCTCATATAAGTTATAAGCTATAGTTTAAATTTCTTAAAGGGGGGTTATCTAGGGGATTATGTAGGGAGTATTATGGGGGTTACTGAGGGGGATACTAGGAGTTTCCACTAGCTCATATGGGTTATGGTCATGGTGTCTGGATTGTGGGTTTAGGGTTTTCGGACAGGTAGTTTAGCTGCTTGATTTCGTGAATTTTGTTGTTCCTTGCTTCATGCGTATCATTGGAGCAGAAGGGCTCAAGGGATCATGCTCAGTATCGCCTTCATTCCATAGTTTGTTCTCCCCTATGACTCCAGAAGCATTTCAAGACACAATTTTCATTCCGCCAGTATGAGTTGTATGGAGCTATGTAGCGTGCTTGCTGTGTTCATGGTGCCTGCCTTCACGCATCGCTTTTGCTGCTTGTGCTTAGTTGAAGCAGCCGAAAACGCGACGCAGATGTGCTGGAAGAGCTAATAATACTGGTAAAAATAACAATACAAATAACAATAATGATAATAGCAATAATATTAACAACAATGAAAATGTCAAAGTACTTGTCATTCTGCTAGTACTACTACTACTACTACTACTACTACTATGCTAATAATACTAATAATAACCATAATAAAAATAATTGTCATAGAAATAAAATTAATGCTAATAGCAATAATACTAGTAGTAATAAGATTGGGCTCCATGCCTTGAGAGGCGAGCTTCGTTGTGGAGGGCTACAGCCCTGAAGAGCTTGAAGAGCGGGCCGATAAGGTGCACGTCGCTGCCAGGTTTTGTTCTGTTGCCAAACAGTTTCCAAGTGAAATTCTGCCGTTTGCGACTGAGGCTGTAGAGAGATGCGTGCCTGACAAGACTGGTGCAAGATGAGTTTGCTAGAAGAATGTTTGCTACGCTGATTTTCTTGCCGTTGGGCTCAGCAGTACGTAGGCCAGGTGGGGTGGCTAAGTCCCAACGGAAAAGCAGCAAAACCACCATCTCAGCAGAGCTTCTGCCAAATCACTTGGATATGAATTCCTTGGAGCATTCATTCATCTTCTTGATGCACGCAGCATGACAGCAGCTCGCAAACACACAGCTGTGCGACGGCACTCGCTTTACAGCAGGTTCACTACTCGTAGCCACAGGCCGTTGAAAAAGCCAATCAGCTTGTGGGAAGGCCCTCTTGGGATAGGTCCACTTCCGCTCCTTAGTAGGACTCGCGCTGTCTCTTGGGAGCATGGAAGCTGGCCAGGCGCAAACTTTGCCTCTTCTCTCCACCTGCAATGTTGTGTTCTATGGGTCCTGTGATGCTAGGACAGGATCCTTGTCCATGCAGGGTCTTTACCAGTGCCTCTTTCGCAACTGTCACAGCTTAAAACGTCAGCGTTTTCCGTTGGTACTGAAGCCTCAGCCTTGCAGCTGGAGATGCTATAAGTTGGTAGAGAAACTCGGAGGCAAGCCATCGGCAATGGCTACAAGAAGAGCTGCGAAAGCTGTGCCTTGCCCGGAAAGCTTGTTGCCATTGACTTCTGCTGCTAAGTAGGCTGTCGTTCATGGTCTATCCATGGCTGCAAGTGCACTAACCCTAAACCCTAAGACCCTAAAATCCTAAACCCTTGGTTTTGCTGTCTCCTTGCGTACTCGCAGCTTTCAAAGGCCAACCTCGGAGATGCAGAGCATCAGCGCGTGGCTTCAGCAGGCAAGTTCACACCTTGGGCATCCGACATGTGAGTTTTCTCCTTCTGAAGCTATATTAAACTTGTAGTATAGTATTATATACTAAAATGCGCTATATTACATTATAGTATATATTAGTAATATACTATGACGATCTACTATAGCATTTTATAATATACTATGATGGACAAGGGTATATTCTAGCTGAGAAAGGCCTTTGCGCATTTGATCGGGACCCTCCTTCTGCAGTCCTTATGGGCATTGCCAGAGGTGCTGCAGGCTCGTCTGCAGCTGGAGGAGATTGAGAGGCAGCCGGCGAAAGCAGAGGCCTTTTGGGACTCGGTTGATTCTATATACTATAATATGTTATAGTACATTATAGTATATTATAGTATACTATGATATCCCATAATTGATTGTAACCGCTTGCGTATGGACGACATGCAGAGAGCTTCTAGGAAGCCGGCGGGGTGAACCATGCGCGAACAACGGCGAGTAACTCACTGAGGGAGCTACCCTATTCCAGACACTGAACCCTGAAGAAGTTGAAGAGAGTACCCTATATGCTTGATGGAATTTCTCCATGGCTGCAATCATCCGGAAGTGAGGTTATAGTATATCATGGTATATTATCATATAATATATTATAGTACATTATACTATACTATAGTATGCTCTAGCCTATTATAGGACTCTGTGGCCTGTTTTTGTAAGATCCTGCAGCCAGCAAATGTGCTATTGATGCAGGCATCCGCTACCCCAGCGAGGCCTAGTGCATCTTGGCAGCAGGCACACAAGCCCAGGACAATTTCTACATCATAATGGGTTAGGGTTTAGGGTTTAGGGTTACGACAGTTACTACATGGACCAAATGGGGTATTGGGGTTATACTGGGGTGAAATGAATTCTATTGGGATAATGGAAAATAAAATGGAAACTACTGCAATTATGTAGGCGTTATAGTAGGGTACATATTGGGGTTGCATAGGGGATAATGGAAAAGAAAATGAAAACCATTACTATATGTGGGCATAATATAGGGGTCATATAGGGAGTAACGGAACAGGACATGGAAAGTTGCTGTAGGGTTTTAGGGTTTAGGGACTTTTGAAGGACCCGCTTGCAGCTGCACCTTTTGCTTGTGTTTGAAAGGGCTTTTGTGTACGACGCCACGGCATGCCGGTGTTGCAAATGATCCCCAACCAGATGCCTTGCTGACATGCATGTGGGTGGAGCAGCCCCACCTGTAGCGGCCGAATTCATATTCACTCAGCATGTCAGGCACCCTTCCAATTATTGTGTAGGCCTACACGATGCCGTATTTCTGGCTTACGAGTGTTGTTGTGGAGATTCGGGCGCAGCAACGGGAATTCTCTGGTACAACTGCGCTCTCGACATCCTTCCCATATGCAACAGCTATTCGGGAGCTTCTCAACAAACAGAGTACTCCTCAAATAGATAGAACTTGGAGTATACTTGGATCTTATTGAGGTTTTGCGGGCTTCCATACTTCTTATCTACTTAAGGGGCATTACAATCCTTAATACTGTTCGAGACCTGATGATGGGCCAGGGGCAGGGTTAGGGGATTGGAGGGGGAGGGGGCTTAGGGTTTATCATTACAACTATTACTATTACCATTACTATTTGGGTTTAGGGACTCCCCCAATGTTTAGGTCTGTTTTTGTTGGCGTGGCGCAGGGGAAAATTGTCAGATCCTGGTTAATTCTTTCGAGAAGCCTGTCGGCAAGAGGCTGGGGCGAAAATTTATTGAATCCTTACTTACAGCGACCCCCAACATCTCTTTAAAATCTCGTTTATCCCTAAATTCCCCCAAAAGTGCTCTGACTTTTATTGCTATCATCACTCTGATTGTTATTATTCAGCCCCAAACCCTAAACCCTAAACCCTAAGGCCGAGCCTCGCGAAAAGGAAGGTGCTGGAGTAGCGTCGCTCGGTTGCAGCGCCGCGCCATCCAGGTTGCGTGAAGTACCTTTAAAGGGTATACAAAGGGACATAAGAGCTACAGTCTTAACTCCTTAAAGGGGGGTTATATAGGGGATCATATAGGCTACTAGCATAGGGGTTATTAAGGGGGATACTAGCAGTTTAGACTATAGCTCATATAGGGTTTTGGGAATTCGGGTTTAGGCTTTCCCCAAAATGCGGGGTCCCTTTTTATTTGGGGTGCCTATATTGGGTATGCAAGGGGTCCCGGATGGGAACAGCCCAAAGGTTTCTTCACATTTCTCCATGCCACGTGCTGCTAGTGCTAATTGCAACAAGAAACGGTACACCGCGGTAGGCTAGATTGTGGTGGCAACATCTGGCAGCTCCTCAGCTTAGTAGAAGACAGACATACAGGTCGCACCCCAAGTCACCCTTGCAAGCCGCGCGTATTTGGGATACAGGCCTTATCGTCAACAGAAGTAGCAAAGACAGGCCTAAGAGCAGAAGCTTGGATAGTCTGGCTTTCAACATCTCGAGACTTCCTCTCTCGCCAGCCTTTCTGGGTTACCCGGTTTTATTTGACCAAATGTCTCTTGTGCCTCAACGTAAGGATTGGCGCTCCAGTTGAAGGTGCCAAGCCAGAAGCTGCAGTCCAGAAGGACAAGCACCCAAACGAGCCAAGCAAAAGCAAGCCGGTTGAAGAGACCGCCAAGCAAGAGACGAAGGGAGAGGCGACGAAGCCGATGGAGGTAGACCCAAGTGCCAGGGCGAAGGAGGGCAGCATGAAACAATCGGAGACCAGCTCGGTCAAGAAGGACCGCCTTTGCTTGTCATGGCATCCATGCAGCCCTTGCACCTGCACTACTGAGTACCCAATCAACAAAGCGGTGAATACTAGATATCAGTTTCCATCACATTTTCCATTTTATTGTCCATTTGGCCTCCATGTGATTTCCGTTCTGTTTCCACGAGCAGATGCGCTGTTAATGGTTTTTTTGACACAGCTGAGTAGTATTTTATTTGGGGATACTATGGTACCCATTATATCCTCCTTTGGGGTATAATATTTTATATGAGGAATATAACCTTACTAGGTTCAACCACCAAAGAAACCATTACTCAGCTTAGCTCCACGCCGCTGGTGCGAAACTGCGAGGATGAGCCGCCAGCCTCTGCTCCGGTACCAGTGGCCACGCCTGCAGCCAACGGCACCTCGTAGCCCGGTTGCAGAATCAGGGTTTAGGGTTTAGGGTTTAGGGTGTGCATGGGTCTATGTGGGGGTTTGCCCCCCCAAAAAGGGGTGCCTTTTTGGGGATCCCTATAATAAGGACTATAGTATATTTGGGTCTATATTGGGGTCCCCCTATTTTGGGAAACTACCATGTTCAGAGGCAGTGCTAGAAACCGTTGTGGGCAACTCAGAGGACAGGCAAAGCCTGATGACACCGTGCAATTTAAAGCGACCTCACTCGACCTCACCCTGAATAGTGGTTTAATTATATAGGGAATAGGACCAAAATGACCTGAAATTGGGAATTGAAGGAATAGTGGTTTATGTAGGGGAAAGGACCAAAATGGCCTGAAAATGGGGAATTGAAGTTATTCCAAATTACCCTGATGACAGCTTCAGCTGAAACTTGGCCTGTACTCTCAGGACGCAGACAGCTCGGGGCCGCCGAGCTGCAACAACTGGCTGGAACACAAGTCAGGATTTCCCAAAATTAGGGTACCTTCAAATGGAATACAGGGGTTATATAGGGGTCATATAGGGTCATATAGGGGTATATAGGGTTCAGGGCTTCCAGAAATTAGGGGGTACCATAATGGGGGTCCCAATAGTAAGGATTATAGCATTTTTTTTGTCTATATTGGGCTCCCCCTGTTGCAGCTTTCTGAAACATATCATGCATGCTGGCTTGAGCAGGTTGCTGTGTTAGGAAGTGCTGTGAAGAAATTGCTGAGGTCCTAAGCGAGGCAGCCGTAGCCGCAGCAGGTCACCCAAGGTGCAGGCTGCCTGGGAGGGTTTAGGGTTGAGGGTTTAGGGTTTGGAGATTCTGGCATGGCCCACTTTCTCAGTATGTGCTGGGCCGAACAATTAAAGGAGGGCTGATTTCAAACTTGTTGGTTGTTTTTGCAGGGGCATGTGGGGGGCCATGTAGGGATGTGACGTCTTGAAGTTTCGAGGTTGCAGTCCCGAGCTGTGCAGGTTGTCCATGATCACTGCATTGCCAGCTTTGGCTTTAAGTCCTGTCACATCTGCATTTGCGTTGTCCCAGACTTATACCACATCGAGGCAACGCAAGGGCGAAGCGATGTGCCTTCGCGGCAGTCCCTTGGTTTGCAATAATTGATTGGACTGCGCAAGCCCGGGATCCACGAGGGCATCTGAGTTGTGGGCTTCTGACCGGCAGGCCAGCAAAGAGTGCGCCACCAGCGCAGCCTGCTCCTGCGGCACCAGCGCCGGCCGCGGCACCACAGTCTGTGCTAGCTCAACCAGCTGAGAAGGCACTTCCACTCTAAACGCTGCAGTGCAGATGACGATCTCGATCTCTCATGGAATAGGGAGCCCAAGCCTACACAGCTGCAAGCTCTACCAATTTCAGCCTGCACCCACGCATTTTCCGATTCGGCACCAGGCAGAGAAAGCGCCGCCATCGGAGGCAGATGTATTTAAGAGAGAGGTGCTGCACGAACTCTCTGCAACAGTGTCGCTTACCCCGATGTGGGATGAGATAACCGGAGCTCTTAATCTTATGCTTCCTTGAAGTGCAGGGAATGATGCCAGCAGCAGCAGCAGTGGCGGCACCAATGGGATCCAGCAAACATTAGTCGCGCAGGGGCATAAGGACAAAGAGGAGGAGGGGGAGGAACAGGGGAGAGGAGGAGGACGAGGGTCAAAGACAAAGATTGTCTGGACATGCGGTCCATTGTATTGTTTGAATTCGTGTAAGCCGGCATGTCCAACGGGTTGTGGATTGCCAGCCATTCCACCCCTGGCAGGGGCCCGTGATTTCAATAGAGCTTGACCAGGAGCATACAGCGCCTTGATTTAAGTAGTTTCCAAAATTAGGGTCCCGTTCTGGTACCCCTAAATATTAGGTGCCGTAATACAATCTATGTCCAAAAGTGGCCCATGACTTTGAGAACACACCATTCGGAAGCGTTGCCTCTCTCTCTGTAACGGTTGAACTACAGGAAGCTTGATCGTTCCAGCCTTGCGTAGTCTAGAATTTCAACAGAGAGCTGCAATTGTGCTTGAAGCTGTTTAGCCACACTACTCACACGTGAATTTGAGCCGCCCAAACGCTGTGGGATTTGATGATTGCTAAGGAGTTGAGGAGCTCGCTGTGGTCTGCTTTCAGCGCTGCTAACGATGTGAAATCGAGGGTCTCGCAGGCAAGGCTGCACAGCATCGCCTTGGGATTCAGGAGCAGGGATTTCTTCGGTGTCCAGCAGGCCTTGTTATATGCTATAATATACTTATAATATACTATAATCTACTATAATATATAATAATATACGATAATATATAACAATATGCGATGATATACTATAACCAACCATAATCTAGGACTGGAGACAAGTTGCACCGAGTCCAGGTGGAGCAGAACTTCAACACCCTCCAAGCACAGTCGCAGCAGGCAACCCTGAAAGCTGACACTTGGCTCTACGACACGGCAAGGAGTTTCGTCCCCCTTAAGTAGATAGAATTATGGGGTTTTATAGGGCTAATGGGAAAGAACATGGAAACTACTTAGGGTTTAGGGGGTATAGTCCCCCTTAAGTAGATAGGATATTCGGTATACTATTGGGGTTATATAGGGATAATGGAAAAGACAAGGGAAACTACTATATTACAATAGGGTATGCATTGGGTTTATAGTGCCCCTTATGCAGATAGAACATGGGGTATATGGAGATCTTATCATAATGTACCCAAGGCTACATTCTATCTGCTTAAGGGGGACTATAGCATGCGACATTGCTCGCATGAATCTACATATCGATACAGGAGGCCAAACCCTAAACCCTAAACCCTAAACAACTACAAGTAGCCCAGTCATTCTACAGCTCAAGAAGACGATCTCTGGCATACCTTGCACCTCCATACAGGCTGACGGTTGCATGTTCGGCCACTAAGCCCACCAAGGTATCCGATAACTTTTAAGCTCACCGGGACTCTCAGCAATCAAAGAAGTTCCAGCCCTCGTGCCCTGAGCCACTGAAACCCACATAAATAGTAAAAAATAGTAATAGTAATAGTAATAGTAATAGTAATAGCAGTACTAATAGTAATAGTACAAAGGAGATTTCTGTTGGTAATTATCTCCAGTCCCAGGAAGAGTCCTTCACAGCGGTTCAGCACTGGTGCGGATGCTTGCCTGCACTCAGTCCCGCAGGCAATCTGAAATGAAAGTCCCCACGAAGACTTCACCAGCTACTTACCCAGTACTACAAGGTTCCTGATTTTTTTTTAATTTCTGTTACCAACAATCCTAATATTTAGCTGAAATTATGATTTCTACTGGGGTTCCAAATCCCTTAGAGAGTAGGGGTGCGGAATGCCAGGTCATCAGG